TCCTGATTCTGTTCCTAATCCTGTTCCTGATTCTATTCCTGATTCTGTTCCTGATCGCGATTCTGTTCCTGTTCAATTCAATTCAATTCAGTTTATTTATATAGCGCCAAATTCACAACACATGTCATCTCAAGGCACTTTACAGTTCAACCAGATCATACAGTCAAATTGATACAAAGTTTTCTATCTAAGGAAAACCAGTTGATTGCATTGACTCATTGACTCAAATACAATCCCCCACACTAAGCATGCTTGTAGCGACAGTGGAGAGGAAAAACTCCCTTTTAACAGGAAGAAACCTCCAGCAGAACCAGGCTCAGTGTGAGCGGCCATCTGCTGAGGCCCACTGGGGTTCAAGGAGACAGAAGCAGAGATACAAGCAGCTGTAAAAGGCGGCCCCGTCCAGGAAACACACAGCCAGGCAGACGAGCTCCAAGGCAGCTCCCATGCCAGAGGACGAAGAGAGCACATCCACTCAGTCACGGTCAGAGAAACAGGACCACACTGGAAAACAGGCCGATCTCCAACATCTATTAACAAGGGTGTTGATAGAAGCAGCAGAGCTGATGTTTTTTTCCAAAGCTACTCTGAGGAAAAGCAGAGAGAGCAGAAGGTTAGAGATTGAACTAACAGATTCTGCAGAATAGGAGAACAGAGAGAGAATGAAGCAGAATGATGAAATGGGGGTCCCTATGTCCTCCAAAAGTCTAAGCCTATAGCAGCATAACTATAGAGATAGCTCAGGATAACCTGAGCCACTCTAACTATAAGCTTTATCAAAAATGAAAGTTTTAAGCCTAGCCTTAAAAGTAGACAGGGTGTCTGCCTCACGGACTAAAACTGGTAGTTGGTTCCACAGGAGAGGAGCCTGAGAACTAAAAGATCTGCCTCCCATTCTACTTTTAGAAACTCTAGGAACCACTAGTAAACCTGCAGATTGAGAGCGAAGTGCTCTGTTAGGAACATAAGGAACAATCAGATCTCTGATATAAGATGGAGCTTGGCCATTTAAGGCTTTATATGTGAGAAGGAGGATTTTAAATTCTATTCTGGATTTAACAGGAAGCCAATGAAGAGAAGCCAGGATAGGAGAGATATGATCTCTCTTTTTCATTTTCATTAGAACTCTGGCTGCAGCATTTTGGATCAGCTGAAGGCTTTTAACTACAGTTTGTGGACTTCCTGATAGTAAAGAATTACAATAGTCCAGCCTTGAAGTAACAAATGCATGGACTAGTTTCTCAGCATCACCCCTGGACAGGATATTTCTAATTTTTGCAATGTTCCTCAGATGAAAGAAGGAAATTCTAGAAACCTCTTTGATATGGGATTTAAATGACAGGTCCTGATCAAAAATAACACCAAGATTTTTTACTTTATTATCTGAAATCAGTTTAATCCCATCCAAATGAAGTGACTGGCTAATCAGTTTCTTTTTCAGAGACTCTGGTCCAAAGACTATAACTTCTGTTTTGTCTGCATTCAGAAGCAGAAAATTAAGAGTCATCCAGGTTTTTATGTCTTCAGACATGCCTGTAATCTATGTAATGGGTTAGCTTCATCTGGATTTATAGACAGATATAGCTGGGTATCATCAGCATAACAGTGGAAATTAATCCCATGCTGTCTAATAATTCTACCAATTGGGAGCATGTATAAAGTAAAGAGAATTGGTCCTAGCACTGATCCCTGTGGTACTCCACAGGTAACCTTTGAGCGTGTTGAAGATCTATCATTAACATGAACAAACTGAATTCGATCAGATAGATAAGATTTAAACCAGTCTAGTTCTGTTCCTTTAATTCCAACAAAATATTCAAGTCTTTCTAAAAGAATATTATGGTCAACTGTATCAAATGCAGCACTTAGATCCAACAGGACGAGCACAGATACAAGTCCATTATCTGAGGCCATGAGAATATCATTAGTGACTTTCACCAGAGCTGTTTCAGTGCTATGATGAGCTCTAAAGCCAGACTGAAACTCTTCAAAAAGTTCATTATGGTGGAAGTGATCGCAAACTTGTTTGGCAACTACTTTCTCAAGAATTTTGGATAAGAAAGGAAGATTGGATATAGGTCTATAATTGACCAAGTCATCTGGGTCAAGAGACGGTTTCTTAAGCAGAGGTTTAATTACAGCAACCTTAAAAGCTTTAGGTACATATCCCTGTAACAGAGATAGATTAATCACATCTAAAATGGAGGAGGAGATCAAAGGGAATACCTCCTTAAATAACCTGGTTGGAACTGGATCTAACATACAAGTTGAAGGCTTAGATGAAGACAATAATTTTGCTAATTCAGAAAGTTCAACTGGATCAAAGCAGTCTAAACCCGGTTCAGATTCCATGACTACCTCAGGTACAATCGCGGATAGAGGAGTGCTTATGATCTTATTTTTAATAAGATCAATCTTATTTATAAAGAATCCCATAAAATCATTGCTGCTAAGAGCAGGTGGAATGGACGGTTCAACAGAGCTATGGCTCTGGGTGAGTTTGGCAACTGTATTAAAAAGAAATCTAGGATTATTCTTATTCTCCTCTATTATTGAGGAGAAGTATGCTGCTCTTGCTTTACAAAGGGTCCTCTTATACAGCAGTAAACCATTTTTCCAGACTAGGAAGGACTCTCGCAGGCCTGTGGAGCGATATTTTCTCTCCAGTTTCCTAGCATTTTGCTTCAAAGTACGCAGCTCTGCATTAAACCAAGGAGCAAGCTTTCTATTTTTAACGGTTTTCATTTTCAAAGGAGCTGCGTTGTCTAAGGCAATACGCAGAGAACTAGCAACCCCCTCAACAAAATCATCAACCTGTGAAGGGGAATAAGCTAAGCTTTTGCATTCTGCAGCACTGCTCAGTGACACAGAGCAGAGAGAAAGTGAAGCAGATTCTTTAAAATTTATAACTGCACTATCTGATAAAGATCTACTAAAATTGAACCTTCTTTTGGGGGAGGAGAACTCTGTTAAAGTAATCCTGAAGGTTATTAGAAAGTGGTCAGAGAGGACAGGGTTGTGAGGAAATACTGTTATTTCTTCACATTCTATGCGGTATGTCAGCACAAGATCCAAAGTATGAAGATGAGAATGCGTGGGACTATTCACATTTTGAACAAAGCCAATAGTGTCTAAGATAACATTAAAGGCTGCTCTTAAGCTATCGCCTTCAATGTCAGCATGGATGTTAAAATCTCCCACTATGATGACCCTGTCAGTATTTAATACCAAATCAGAAAGGAACTCTGAAAACTCATCTAAAAATTCAGAGTAAGGACCTGGTGGACGATACAAAGTTACAAAAAGAAGAGGTTTTCTTGCCTTGAAATTTGGATCAGGGAAATTAAGGGTTAAATGTTCAAAAGAGTTGTAGGAATTAATTGTTTTGGGAGTAATCAGTAAGTCAGACTCGAAGATTGTTGCTACTCCTCCTCCTCGCCCAGAACTTCTGGGGATGTGAAAATTTAAATAGCTTGAAGGAGTTGCGTCATTTATGCTCACATAATCCTCTTGCTGCAGCCAGGTTTCTGTAAGGCAAAACAAGTCAATGTGATTATCACAAATCAAGTCATTAACTAGCAGACTTTTAGAGGAAAGCGATCTTATGTTAAACAGACCGCATTTAATTGTTTTAACTTTTTCCCCAATTGGAGTTATTTTGATTTTAATTAGATTATCATGATTTACTCCTTTGGGAATCTTTGCTAATTTATTAGATTTTGGTCGTGGGCAAGACACTGTCTGGATGGAGTAAAGAGTGGGTAACAGTAGAGAAGCTGCAGAGATGTGTGTTAAACTACTGTGTTAAACTACCAGATTCTGTTCCTGATCCTGTTCTTGATCCTGATTCTGGTCCTGATTCTGTTCCTGATCCTGTTCCTGATTCTGTTCCTGATCCCGATTCTGTTCCTGATCCTGATTCTGTTCCTGATTTTGTTCCTGATACTGATTCTGTTCCTGATCCTGTTCCTGATCCTGTTCCTGATTCTGTTCCTGATTCTTTTCCTGATCCTGTTCCTGATCCTGTTCCTGATTCTGTTTCTGTTCCTGATCCTGATTCTGTTCCGGTTTCTGTTCCTGTTCCTGTTTCTGTTCCTGATCCTGTTCCTGATCCTGATTCTGTTCCTGTTCCTGATTCTGTTCCTGATTCTGTTCCTGATCCTGTTTCTGTTCCTGATCATGTTCCTGATCCTGTTCCTGATTCTGTTCCTGTTTCTGTTCCTGATTCTGTTCCTGTTTCTGTTCCTGTTCCTGATTCTGTTCCTGATCCTGTTTCTGTTCCTGTTCCTGTTTCTGTTCCTGATTCTGTTCCTGATCCTGTTCCTGATCCTGATTCTGTTCCTGATCCTGTTTCTGTTCCTATTCCTGATTCTGTTCCTGTTTCTGTTCCTGATCCTGTTCCTAATTCTAAGCCTGATCCTGATTCTGTTCCTGATCCTGTTTCTGTTCCTGATCCTGTTCCACACATTGAGTCAGGAGGAAGGAGCCTCTGACTGCTCAGTGGATCTGATGGAGCCAAGCCTCCATCAGCATCATGCAGATCTTCCCTAATGGACCAAGTTTCTCATCATCGCCACCTGCTGGTCCAGCAGGAGAATCATGTTTAGCTAATCCAAGTCTGAACTGAACTGGACTGTTTTAATGAATAAATCACCATTTTAAAATAAACCAGCCAATAAATGATTGTGTTGTTTGGATGAGAGAGCAGTTTATTCTAACAGGCAGACCGCATCAGAAAGGGAATCCTATGGATCAGGATGGTGATGGGTCACAGAAGGTTAGTGGTCTGTATCCCCCCTCCCCACGTGAATGATGTAATAGAGCGTCTGCGGTGGATTGTACCGCTGTGCGCCATGTGCGCATCTCCTGCCTACAGATGAGGAGAAGAAGATCCTGTTTGGACCCAAAAAAGTGAGTAAATGTTTCTGGATCCGCAGATGAAACGAACCGGTTGGTTAAAAAACCCAAAGATGAGATCAGAGTGCGAGCAGGTGGAGCCTCCACCCATCCACCATCCACCCCCCGCTGCTCAGGCTGCTGCTCAGAGGCGTGCGTAAAAACGGAGCTGGACCGAACCACTTTATCCCACAGTGGCTCGGACCAGCGCGCGGTGCGACACCACGGAGGGGGGGTGCGGGAAGCATCCTGTCTGCACGCGCTGCGTTCACGCAAGGCGGGGTGAGGAAGAGGAGGAGGAGGAGGAGGAGGAGGAAGCCTCTCCTGGAGGCAGACAATGCGGCGTGTCGATGCGCTCAGCGCTGCTCTCCAACCGAACCGGGCTGCGGGGAAGGCGGCGGGCGAACCCTGCGCGTCGTGACTCGGTTCTCCTCCTTTGGTTCTGGATCCGGGATCCACGCCGAACATTTCCCCGCACGGTTGCCAAGGAAACGGACCAAAGATGAAATTTCCAATAGAAAATCCGACAAAGCAAGTAAACTGGGACCCAGAACAAGGTTGGTAAAAAAAAAAAAAACATAAATATAATAGAACAACATAAATTCTACTGAAGGAGAAGTTCTATGTTATTCTGGGGGAACCCCCCCATTCTGAGGGGGGGGGGGAGGGGGAGGGGGGGGGGGGGTCTACCTGCAGCAGACCCGCATTACATGCCTCACGCGCTTCAACAGTTTTGCACAATTTGCTCCTTTTGGAGCTGCTGGTTCCTCATCAGCAACCAGCAGCAGCTCCATCAGCAACCAGCAGCTCCATCAGCAACCAGCAGCTCCATCAGCAACCAGCAGCAGCTCCATCAGCAACCAGCAGCTCCATCAGCAACCAGCAGCTCCATCAGCAACCAGCAGCAGCTCCATCCTTCTGATCATCATAGTTCAAAAAGCCAAATATCACAGAATGCCTTTCAAAACAAAAACATGGAGCATTGCTTTCATTTGATCCTCATTAAACATCAACTTTTATAAACTTTAGTCTAATTAGGAGATTATTTACATTTTAACCCTGAATTAAACTAATTAAGGCTCATTTAGTGTCAAACAGCTTCGATTATTTCTAGTTTCACTCAAATACTAGAGATGAAAGGTGCATCAGCTTTGCTATCGTTAATAATTACTGATCAGTCTTTTATTTACCTGTTTGCAGAGGCGGTTCTAGAGCAGACTGGGACGGGGGGCGTGTTTTCATGGGGGCCCAGAAAAGCATGAAACTAAAAGACAGAGCAAGGAATTAAAATATGTTAAGAGAAATTTCAATTAATTAATAAGGTTTAATTAAAATTCTGTGTCTACAAACTGATCATATTTATTTCTGGCTTGAAAATGTTCATTTGGATTAAATAAAAACCCCTTAGCATAGCAAAAACTAACTTAAAAAATGTAGCTCTATAAATATCTAAAAGATCAAATAAAGCTATCTGGTCAATTATTAAGTCAATTCATCAATTAATTTTACATATTTTTAAGTTAAAGTTAAATTTCAGTTAAAATTGCTGTTTTAGAGCTAAAAGTAAAACTGATAGATTCAGCTGTAAAAATATTTTTTATTTGTATAAAACATTTAGCAGATGAAAGCCGGGATGCTTTCTCAATCCCACTGAAGCTATCACCTTATTGTTCTGAAATAATTAGGAAAACAGAATTTTTTAAAGGAAAGAAAATGAGATAGATGCAGCGGATCTATCAGTAAGCATGTCTGTTCCAGCGCAGATCATCAGTAGAATTTCTTTGAATATTTTGTCTTCAGTACAGAGGCCAGGGCATGATCTACAGGGGCACTGGCCCCCGCTGGCCCCCGCCTGAGTATGATTATTCTGTGGTTCAGGAAACCTGGCTGTCTGACACAAAAAACATTTTCAAACTGAAATTAAATAACAACTTATATATATATTTAGTTTCAAACCATTACATTCAGCTTCACTTTCCTGAAATTCATTTTCAAACTGGTGTATTTCATTTAAATGATCTGAATTCAGTCAATTTGATTTCAGTTCGGTTTCTGGTGCCAAAAGTTTCTGTTTCCTGTAGAACCGGGGAAACAGAAACGGAGCAGAAGGTGAATCATATCTTTATTTTCTCATCGAAACATGTTGTTTTCCTAAAATAATGTTTCTGTAATCAAACTGGAAGACCTGATTATCGTTAAGGCTAACGGGGGTCCACTGCCTTGTTCTCAGCCCAGACTCTGTAAAAAGAACAAAAAAAAAGCTCAGAACTTTATTGGATTTTATTTTCTAAAATGTTGTGTTGGTTTGTTTTTGTGGAATGTTTTTGCAGAGAGGATAGATGCTGCTTGATGGGTTATTTTGTGAGTTAAAAGTGTAGAAGCTGCTGGCAGTCAACAGGAAACCACCAGTCTGCTCTGGTTCCTGGTCTTTGATCCAGTCTTCTGGTTCCTGGTCTTTGATCCAGTCTTCTGGTTCCTGGGTCTTTGATCCAGTCATTAGGTTCCTGGTCTTTGATCCAGTCTTCTGGTTCCTGGTTTTTGATCCAGTCTTCTGGTTCCTGGGTCTTTGATCCAGTCTTGGTTCCTGGGTCTTTGATCCAGTCTTCTGGTTCCTGGGTCTTTGATCCAGTCTTCTGGTTCCTGGTCTTTGATCCAGTCTTCTGGTTCCTGGTTTTTGATCCAGTCTTTTGGTTCCTGTGTCATTGATCCAGTCTTGGTTCCTGGGTCTTTGATCCAGTCTTCTGGTTCCTGGGTCTTTGATCCAGTCTTCTGGTTTCTGGTCTTTGATCCAGTCTTCTGGTTCCTGGTTTTTGATCCAGTCTTTTGGTTCCTGGGTCATTGATCCAGTCTTGGTTCCTGGGTCTTTGATCCAGTCTTCTGGTTCCTGGGTCTTTGATCCAGTCTTCTGGTTTCTGGTCTTTGATCCAGTCTTCTGGTTCCTGGTCTTTGATCCAGTCTTCTGGTTCCCGGTTTTTGATCCAGTCTTTTGGTTCCTGGGTAATTGATCCAGTCTTGGTTCCTGGGTCTTTGATCCAGTCTTCTGGTTCCTGGGTCTTTGATCCAGTCTTCTGGTTTCTGGTCTTTGATCCAGTCTTCTGGTTCCTGGTCTTTGATCCAGTCTTCTGGTTCCTGGTCTTTGATCCAGTCATTAGGTTCCTGGTCTTTGATCCAGTCTTCTGGTTCCTGGTCTGTGATCCAGTCTTTTGGTTCCTGGTCTTTGATCCAGTCTTCTGGTTCCTGGTCTTTGATCCAGTCTTCTGGTTTCTGGTCTTTGATCCAGTCATTAGGTTCCTGGTTTTTGATCCAGTCTTCTGGTTCCTGGTCTTTGATCCAGTCTTCTGGTTCCTGGTCTTTGATCCAGTCTTCTGGTTCCTGGGTCTTTGGTCCAGTATTCTGGTTCCTGGGTCTTTGGTCCAGTATTCTGGTTCCTGGGTCTTTGATCCAGTATTCTGGTTCCTGGGTCTTTGGTCCAGTATTCTGGTTCCTGGTCTTTGATCCAGTCTTCTGGTTCCTGGGTCTTTGGTCCAGTATTCTGGTTCCTGGGTCTTTGGTCCAGTATTCTGGTTCCTGGGTCTTTGATCCAGTCATTAGGTTCCTGGTCTTTGATCCAGTCATTAGGTTCCTGGTCTTTGATCCAGTCATTAGGTTCCTGGTCTTTGATCCAGTCTTCTGGTTCCTGGTCTGTGATCCAGTCATTAGGTTCCTGGTCTTTGATCCAGTCTTCTGGTTCCTGGTCTTCGATCCAGTCTTCTGGTACCTGGTCTTTGATCCAGTCTTTTGGTTCCTGGTCTTTGATCCAGTCTTCTGGTTCCTGGTCTTTGATCCAGTCTTCTGGTTCCTGGTCTTTGATCCAGTCATTAGGTTCCTGGTTTTTGATCCAGTCTTCTGGTTCCTGGTCTTTGATCCAGTCTTCTGGTTCCTGGTCTTTGATCCAGTCTTCTGGTTCCTGGGTCTTTGGTCCAGTATTCTGGTTCCTGGGTCTTTGGTCCAGTATTCTGGTTCCTGGGTCTTTGATCCAGTATTCTGGTTCCTGGGTCTTTGGTCCAGTCTTCTGGTTCCTGGTCTTTGATCCAGTCTTCTGGTTCCTGGGTCTTTGGTCCAGTATTCTGGTTCCTGGGTCTTTGGTCCAGTATTCTGGTTCCTGGGTCTTTGGTCCAGTCTTCTGGTTCCTGGTCTTTGATCCAGTCTTCTGGTTCCTGGTCTTTGATCCAGTCTTCTGGTTCCTGGGTCTTTGGTCCAGTCTTCTGGTTCCTGGGTCTTTGGTCCAGTATTCTGGTTCCTGGGTCTTTGATCCAGTATTCTGGTTCCTGGGTCTTTGGTCCAGTCTTCTGGTTCCTGGTCTTTGATCCAGTCTTCTGGTTCTTGGTCTTTGATCCAGTCTTCTGGTTCCTGGGTCTTTGGTCCAGTATTCTGGTTCCTGGGTCTTTGGTCCAGTATTCTGGTTCCTGGGTCTTTGGTCCAGTATTCTGGTTCCTGGGTCTTTGGTCCAGTCTTCTGGTTCTTGGTCTTTGATCCAGTCTTCTGGTTCCTGGGTCTTTGGTCCAGTATTCTGGTTCCTGTGTCTTTGGTCCAGTATTCTGGTTCCTGGGTCTTTGGTCCAGTCTTCTGGTTCCTGGTCTTTGATCCAGTCTTCTGGTTCCTGGGTCTTTGGTCCAGTATTCTGGTTCCTGGGTCTTTGGTCCAGTATTCTGGTTCCTGGGTCTTTGGTCCAGTATTCTGGTTCTTGGTCTTTGATCCAGTCTTCTGGTTCCTGGGTCTTTGGTCCAGTATTCTGGTTCCTGGGTCTTTGGTCCAGTATTCTGGTTCCTGGGTCTTTGGTCCAGTATTCTGGTTCTTGGTCTTTGATCCAGTCTTCTGGTTCCTGGGTCTTTGGTCCAGTATTCTGGTTCCTGGGTCTTTGGTCCAGTATTCTGGTTCCTGGGTCTTTGGTCCAGTATTCTGGTTCCTGGGTCTTTGGTCCAGTATTCTGGTTCCTGGGTCTTTGGTCCAGTCTTCTGGTTCTTGGTCTTTGATCCAGTCTTCTGGTTCCTGGGTCTTTGGTCCAGTATTCTGGTTCCTGGGTCTTTGGTCCAGTATTCTGGTTCCTGGGTCTTTGGTCCAGTATTCTGGTTCCTGGGTCTTTGGTCCAGTCTTCTGGTTCTTGGTCTTTGATCCAGTCTTCTGGTTCCTGGGTCTTTGGTCCAGTATTCTGGTTCCTGGGTCTTTGGTCCAGTATTCTGGTTCCTGGGTCTTTGGTCCAGTATTCTGGTTCCTGGGTCTTTGGTCCAGTATTCTGGTTCCTGGGTCTTTGGTCCAGTATTCTGGTTCCTGGGTCTTTGGTCCAGTATTCTGGTTCCTGGGTCTTTGGTCCAGTCTTCTGGTTCTTGGTCTTTGATCCAGTCTTCTGGTTCCTGGGTCTTTGGTCCAGTATTCTGGTTCCTGGGTCTTTGGTCCAGTCTTCTGGTTCCTGGTCTTTGATCCAGTCTTCTGGTTCCTGGGTTTTTGGTCCAGTATTCTGGTTCCTGGGTCTTTGGTCCAGTATTCTGGTTCCTGGGTCTTTGGTCCAGTATTCTGGTTCCTGGGTCTTTGGTCCAGTATTCTGGTTCCTGGGTCTTTGGTCCAGTCTTCTGGTTCTTGGTCTTTGATCCAGTCTTCTGGTTCCTGGGTCTTTGGTCCAGTATTCTGGTTCCTGGGTCTTTGGTCCAGTATTCTGGTTCCTGGGTCTTTGGTCCAGTATTCTGGTTCCTGGGTCTTTGGTCCAGTATTCTGGTTCCTGGGTCTTTGGTCCAGTATTCTGGTTCCTGGGTCTTTGGTCCAGTATTCTGGTTCCTGGGTCTTTGGTCCAGTCTTCTGGTTCTTGGTCTTTGATCCAGTCTTCTGGTTCCTGGGTCTTTGGTCCAGTATTCTGGTTCCTGGGTCTTTGGTCCAGTCTTCTGGTTCCTGGTCTTTGATCCAGTCTTCTGGTTCCTGGGTTTTTGGTCCAGTATTCTGGTTCCTGGGTCTTTGGTCCAGTATTCTGGTTCCTGGGTCTTTGGTCCAGTATTCTGAGGACCAAACATGCTGAAGTTTCTCTCCAACAAGCCAGCTGTAATCTGGCTGCAACCAAAAAAGCTGCAGGTGTAACTGATCCCATAACCTCATCAAATTCTGCATCTTCATCCAGGACGGCCATTATGGACCATTAGATCCGGGGATTTTCTTTCCTTCATCTTCGGTTAGTGTAACGCTGAAGCAGAGAGCGGAGGTGAAAGGATATTATGCATCAAACATTTTCTACTCAGAGCTTATCTAATGTTTAGAAAATCAATGTAAAGCTGTTTTAGTGGTTCAAAAATGACTTTACACTAATGGCATCTTCATCGAACCAGACATTCTCATGTTCACCGCAGTCCTGGATTCCTCTGCAGGTTCTTACTGGTTCTACTTGTGTCATCAGTTTCTCAGCCTTGTTTTTAAAAAAAGTTTTTTTAAGCTTTTTAGTTCAGTTTAGGCAACTGGAGGGGAAGTTTTCTAGAAGACGTTCTCCTATCATCTAAGAAGCTCCTTCTGTTCTAACTAGGTGTGTGAAGAACTAAGATTAACATGCTGGAGGAGGAACTAAGGATTATGGGGAACTAAGGGAGGTTCTTATTCCTCCTGGATGGACTGGCCATGGAGGTCACCTGGGGGGTCAATGGTGGTTAGGGAGTCCTGATGGGTCATTAACTCCATGGTCAGAGTGGTTTCTGTGTCATGCCTCATTGAAGTGAGTCAGGTGAGGTCAGGTGGGAGGTGAATCTTCTGGGCATTTTTCCTAAACGTTCTGAGAGATTCCAGGTTAACAAAGATGGCTTCCTTAACCCCTCTTTCAAACCATCTGTCTCCCTTGGCCAGAATCTGGATGTTGTTGTCCTTTAGTCTTCAGGCATAGGTGAACAGCTGAGTCCTGTGTTAAGCCGTGCGCCTGTGTAGCGGTTTCTATGGAAACCTGTAGAAAACCTGCAGTTTTACTATGTTTGTCTCTCACTGTGCGACCCGACGCTCTGACGCGATCTACCTGCTCACACTGTATGTCTAAAACCAGGTGGGTTTAAAGGTCCCACCACATAGAGGCCGTTTGAGGTGCTCCTTGGAGCTCCTCTGGGCTTCGCATCGCAGCGGACCTCATGGTTTATATTAAATAATTAAAATCAGTTTGTGTGCGATGCGTTGTTCTTCTGACTCTTCTTTTCTTGATGTCTTTATCGTCATCTTTCGGCTTTTCAGCTTTTTTTTATTGTCATTCCAGTGTGAGAGTACAGAGCAACGTAATTCCCCCTCTGCATTTATCCCCACTCCAAGGGGAGCAATGTGGGGTTAAGGGTCTTGCTCAGGGACCCAGAGTGGCAGTCTTTGGGAGTGGTGCTCAAACTCAGAACTTTCGGATTCCAAGCTCTATGACCCCCCTCCCCCAATATGAACCAGATTTCACTATGAGCTGCTGAAACATTAGACTTAAATAAGAAAGAAATAAGAAGCTTTACTGTCACTGTAATGAAAGTAAAAGCAGCGTATCTTTAGCAGCGTTATCAGTCTGTGTGTCTGTCTGTGCGACTGACTGACTGACTGACTGACTGACTGACTGACTGACTGACTGACCTACTGTCATGTCTGTAGCTCTGACCACTTCATGGGGAATAAATCCCATTAGGCGGGTTTCTTTAAACCACATCAGATGTTTGATCCTCTGGGATCTGGTAGCTCCTTCATCCACACCAACCAGATTCCTTTGAATGCATCTCTAAAGGCTGAAGGGCATCGTAGGAATCATCTGTTCTTATTCTAACCACACCCTCTTATTCTCACCCTGGTTCTTAGTGGCGGTCCAGACCCACTTGGTCCCCCCCAAAAAGATGCAGCCCGGCATGGTGAAGTCCAGCCTGGTCCACGCCAGCGTGGCCACCATGCAGAACCCCATGGGCTACGACCCCAGGACCAGCGGTCACTGCGCGCTCCCACGCCTCTCCATCTCCTCGCGCTCGGCCAGCATGGTGGCCAGCCTGGACGCCAGCAGCGACGGCTCCCTGGCGGCGCTCCAGTCGGTGATGAAGTGGAAGACGGTGATGGCTGTGTTCGTGGTGGTGGTCCTCTACCTGGTCGCTGGAGCTCTGGCATTCAAGGCTCTGGAGCAGCCCTTTGAGAGCAACCAGAAGACAAGCATCACCCTGGAAAAGGCCTCCTTCCTGGACAGACACCCCTGTGTGACCGCTAGCGAGCTGGACGCCATCATCAAGGTCAGTTCTGCCAATCAACCGGTTCATTCTACATGATGGAGTCATAGGACCATACCGACAAAAATTCTACGATTAAAGTCACAATATTAGCAGATTAAAATCCTAAAATAAAAGTCATAATAATCTGAGAATTATATTATAATATTACAGGATTAGACCTGAAAAAAAGTGGTAATTTAATGAGATTAATTTCATATTAGGATATTTAAAGGTATGGAGGAGGATCTTTTATTTCCGGGTGGATCATCTCAATCAGTGGTCCTCCTAGCTGTCAATCATCCTGGTGATATGTTTGCGTGTTCGTCCCGTTAGCTATCTTCTTCTTTCAGGCGTATATCTGTGGTGAGCTACGGTTTCAGACAGTCATTGAAGCTCACCTTTCTCACCGCGGTTCTTTGAAAATGGCCGAAGGTCGGAAGAGAAAAAGTGTCTAGGAAGGGTGTGAGAAGAAAAGGAAGGCCTCAGAAGAGGCAGATATATCCCAGAATGCTTTGCAGGGAGAGCTCTCCTTGCAAAGCATTATGGGATTTACTGTCACAGTGACTAATAACAAAGATGGCGCCGGCACCGCGCGGTGGAGGAGGAGTTACGTGACCAACGGAGCATAAAGCAGTGATCATGTGTCTGAAGGTCAGTTAACTGAGTTCACTATAAAGTTCACTATATAGTCTCCGCTCTATAGTGATGGAGGGATTTAGGGGGAAAGAGTTTCCTTCACAGGGTGGCTGGGCAGAGGAGCTAAACAGATGCCACTTGTAGTAGCATCAGTTTAGCATTTCATCCCATTCTGCACCGCCAGCGACGTAACATTAAAAATCACACAATAAACAGATATGCGTACCGTATTTTTCAGACTATAAGTTGCACTTTTTTTCATGGTTTGGTTGGCCATGCGACTTTTACTCTGGTCAGACATGTATACCATGAGAGGGCGCTATGTAGCTTTGGTGTTAAGCCTGACCGGTAAAATATTCTAAAAGCAAACTTATTAAAAGTGTAAATTAAGCTATAAAGTAGGCTTGTAGTCTGTGGTAATATTTAAAACAACCAGGGTAGGCGACAGGGCAACTGTTGCGTTATCGCTGCTTCTCAGATGTCCGATCATTAAATAAATCAATGTGATCTTCGAGCAGTAGCCGACCACGTGCCAATTATCAGAACACGGATTCCATGGATAGAATAACCTTTCAAAAAAGGTGTGACTGTTGGTCCGGTGTGATATATATACATGTTTTTCTCGTCTTCATAATGCATTTTTCGGCTGATGTGATTTAAACTCCAGAGTGACGTATAGTCCGAAAAATACGGAAGGTGTTTCCTGAAGTCTTTCTGATTTCTACAGGAAGGTTTAACTATAGGAGATTCAAACCCTGAAATTATGGCTTTTAGTTTCCGTGGCCACCCCAAGGGTTTTAGTGGCCCAACTGGCCCCCCCATGAAACATTTCTGGAGGCGCCACTGTGGCGGGGCGCACCCTGCCAGAGGTGAGGAGCAGTTACCCGGGAGGAGCTCGGAGTAGAGTTGTTGCTCCTCCATGTCGAAAGCAGCCAGCTGAGGAGGCTCGGGCATCTGTTCCTGATGCCTCCTGGCCGCCTCCCTGGGGAGGTGTTCCAGGCACGTCCCATTGGAGGAGGCCTGGTGGAAGGACCAGGACACGCTGGAGGGACGATGTCTCTGAGCTGTCTGGTGTCGCATCGGGGAGCAGCTGGAGGAGGTGGGGGTGGATCAGGAAGTCTGGGCATCTCGGCTCAGTCTGCAGCCTCTGCAACCCGGATAAGAGGAATAAAATGGAATGGGAAAAAAAGGCTGCTGGTTGATATCCTGAATTAACACAAATTTATTCTGCTTATTTGATCTAAAAAGTCTTCATATTGCCCCAATAATCTGTCCTGTTTGTCCACATTGAAATGGAAATAACCCTTCAAATAGTTTCATGGATCTGAACTCTCGTGCAGCTAGTTAAGAAAGTTGATATGAAGTCGGTAGTGTGACAGATGGGTAGGTGAGGAGGACCTGAGGGTCCAGGGTTTGGTCTGATTCTGCAGCCGGGACGCCTACGGAGGAACAGCCTGAAGGTAAACGGTAGGGTTATGGAGGGAAGGCTGCATGGAAGCAGGGCATGAGAAACCATCGGTATGAATGAAGTGAAGGTAGGAGCAACATAGAGGCAGTCAATGACAGACTCAGAGCATTAAACCAGTAATTCCTGGGAAACTAGAGACACAGGACAGCAGGGAGCTGGGAGGAAAGCCACCAGCTGAAGGGGAGGAGCAGTGATGGCTGCAGTGTTTAAAAGCCTGAGAATGTGGATAACCTGACAATCAGTCGGTTCTACAGGAACGTTCCCATTTCTCTTACTGGGATCCAGTGTTAGCATGCTAGCTTATGGTTAGGGCTGGAAATGACATCCATCCATCATCCGCCCATCCAGACGTCCCTCTCCCCAGCCACAAACCCCTCCCTGGGCTGCCAACTTATGCTGGTGGGGGGTTTGAGTGTCCTAATGACCTTAGGAGCTATGCTGTCTGGGGGCTTTATGCCTCTAGTAGGGTCACCCAAGGCAGACAGGTCCTATAGGTGAGGGACCAGACAAAGATCAGCCTAAAGACCTCTTATGATGAATAAAACAAATGGCAAAGCCTGATGAGGAAGCGTGGGGCTCCCTTCCAATGGGCTCTCCACCTGTAGGAGGGGCCAAAGGGTTCGGGTGCATCAGGACAGGAAGGGCGGGGCGTTCTGATCAATGATGTGTGTAAGTATAAATTATTCAACAATTATTATACTAAAGACTGGATGACTTCCTGGCCAGGAAGGGGTTAAACTTGGTTGGTTTTCCAGACAGTGGAGCTTAGAGATGTTCCTGTCTGCCTCGAGCTCCCAGAGATCTCACTACAGTTTATGTTTCTGTTTCTCTTGCTTCTGATGACCTTTTGGAAACGTTCTGGACTGTCTGCATCTGCAGGGTTTTTCTGTCAGAAATGCCACATGGCTGCTTCCAAAAAGCTCCGCCCTCAAGCTGTGAATAGAACTAATGAGCCACAGGCGGCTGAAGCAGAGAGCGGTTATTGGGACGTTAATGAACCCAGGATGAGCTTCTGATGGAGAGCATCTGTGGGCAGCAGGCAGGCGGCTTTACTTTGACTAGGCCATTCTCACTGTGTGGCTGCATCACTTTTTTAGCAGCCGTGGAGCCGTAGTTCGTCCTCTGGCATGGGAGCTGGCTCGGAGCTCGTCTGCCTGGCTGTGTGTTTCCTGGACGGGGCCGCCTGTGGAGCTGGTTGACAGTTGCCTTTTGTATCTATGCTTCTTTTTCTATGTCTGCTTCTGTCTCCTTGAACCCCAGTGGGCCTCAGCAGATGGCCGCTCACACTGAGCCTGGTTCTGCTGGAGGTTTCTTCCTGTTCAAAGGGAGTTTTTCCTCTCCACTGTCGCTACAAGCATGCTTAGTGTGAGGGATTGCTGAAGAGTCAATGAGTCGATGCAATCAGCTGGTTTTCCTTAGATAGAAAACTTTTAATCAATCTGACTGGATGATCTGGTGAACTGGATCTATAAACCTGAGATGACATGATGTGAATTGGAGCTATAGAAATAAACTGAATAGAATTGGTTTCAGTCAGGTGTAGCAGCAGGTGAGCTGAGGACCAGGCACCACTTGGTGATTCGGCCAATCAGCTCAGTGTCCCTCCCTTTAACCACCACAGCAGCCTTTCCAGATGGATTATGGGTAGAATTCCAACCGGTTTATGACCGGTTACCATGGTTTATATTCACACTAAAAAAAGACGGGAAGCGTTTGACTAAAGCACTAAAAGTCTGGAAGCCACGAGGAGCCAAGTTTTGATAGCGGCCATCTTTACTGAAGAGACGGAGAAGAAAGCGGTTCTTTATTTATCTTCCTGATAAATATGAAGAAATGAGCAGCTAAGATGGAATCTTCCAGAACAGGAGCAGCTGCTTCACAGGTCCATCATCAGAAGGTCCGTCTGCTCCTCAGCAGGAAAACTGGGACCTTGTGAACCTTTCGACGCCCCCCCCTGCTGGTTGGATGAGTCACTCTCTGCCAGCAGCTCAGCTTCATGTATTGATGAGTCACTAATCTCCAAATAAACTCCTGCACTTGCTGGTTTACCTGAAGCAGCCGTGACTGATGCGGCGTGGAACGCTGCGGCCTTCGCCCAGGAATCATCAGACACGTGTTGGTTTGGGTCCGTCTGCAGGTGTTGCTGAAGTCAAACCGGTTCATGGCGGCCTATCAGATTGCAGCAGAGCGGAGGAGAGCGTGAGGCGCCATGCTGCCCTGATCACCTGCTGAGGGGATGAAAACCTGCTGCTAATGATCCTGCAGTGGAGCGAAGGAAAACTCATTAGCACAGAGCCAGTGGGGGCTCACTTTCTGTTCACACATCCTGCAGAGCAAAATATCAACACAAAACAGACAAAGAAACTCTGATGATGAGGATTTAGAAACATATGCAAGTTTTCTCTGCTGGGATTAACTTTTATTTATTCTGGTTAAAGGTATAATGGAGGATTAAAAAAAAATAAAATGCACATGGGGCGTGCTTTGGTGGCGCAGTGGTTAGTTCTAGTGTTGCACCGATACTGATACCAGTATCGGACGGGGCCCCGATACCGCCCTAAAATGGTGGTATCGGTATCGACGAGTACCAACCAATAGGACACTGATACCATTTTGAGAGCCAAAAGTTTCTTCAACTATTGTCACCCATTCCAGGTAGGCAATAAAAAGTTCTACTGGATTCACTTTGTTTTAGTCTTTTTCCTGCTTCACAAAGGAAGGCAGCAGCTTGAAGACATGATATTTTACATTATTATGGTATCGGTATCGGCCGATACTGCACAGCCAGGTATCGGGGCCAAAAAATGGCATCGGCGCAACACTAGTTAGCGCACATGACCCATGTATGCATTAGTCCTCCACGAAGCTGAGATCAGTTCAAATCTGACCTCTGGTCCTTTGCTAATGTCTCCCTCCC